GCACGTCGGGCATGCTCTGCGCGTGATGCCAGTCTCTTGCAGCCTGGTTCAAGATCGGTGCGATCGTTGCTATTCTTGCAGTGCGGACGCTGTCTTGCGAAAGCACTGTGTGCGGAGCACATGGCTGGAGGTTTCAAGGAATTTCTTGAACTTCTTGGATTGTCTACTGAACGCGCAGAGACTGTAGACATGAAGATGGTGAGGAGGAAGTAGAGAGGGAAGATGTTTACGTGCCATCCCGACAAGGCCGGCGACAAGGAGAATGAGCTCTGCAAGTTTCTCACCGGGGAAATGACTCGTTTGGAGAAGTATCGCAAAAATCTCCCCCCGTGGTCCTCTGGCGCCTCCGGCTATGCGAACAGCGGGTTTAGGAGTCATGCGAATCACACCGCTTCGCAGGCAGCAGGTTCTGGGAGTCGTGGAGCACAGGCGCCGTTTGCCACCCCGAAGCCAAGGCCTGCGTCTCGGAATGAGCCCCGGCCTGCATCTGAGACCCAGCGTCCGCAATCTGGCTGTCCGAAGGAGCCTCATTGCGATGGCTTTCAAGGCAAATACCGCCGTCTGACCGCAGAGCGCAGAGCGGAGTACAGATTTATGTACGCGGCCAGTGACGGATGCGTTCGCTGCATGCAGCACTACGCCAGCCTCCCGAACTTTGATGTGCACTGCGTCTCGTGCGGGAAGAACGCTCGTGGCTGGGCCGAGGAACATCTCACCGCAGAGGTGGAGGCATGCTTGCAAGGAATGGGTCTCTGAACTCGGAGGCGCGCGCTGCTGCCGAATGGACGCTGTCTTGCGAAAGTTCGGCGGCGCGGTGTAGCAAAGTTAGCAATGCAAGGTTGCTGCGCAACAAAAAAAGCGTGGCAGCAGGAAAGCGAGTGCGTATTGGTGCGTTTTTCTTTGCTTCTCTTGCATCCATTCCAAGACCGTTTGCTGCAGCTCAGGTTCTCTTGACTCGCAAGATGCCCGCCGGTCTTCTCCTCAGCAAGACAATCGCTCGGTAACGGGCTGTAGTTATCCCGTTTCCAATTTTTGCAAGTGGTGCAGCGACGCGTTGTGTGTTTGTGTTTGTTTTTTGTTTTTTTTTTCCAAGACAGCGTGCACCTTGCCTCTGCTGCACATATGTCTCGCAGGGTATGCTCTGCACGTGATGCCAGTCTCTTGCAGCCTGGCTCAAGATCGGTGCGATTGTAGCTATTCTGTTTACGCAGTGCAGACGCTGTCTTGCGAAAGCAGCGTGTGTGGAGCACATGGATGGATCTTTCAAGCACTTTCTTGATCATCTTGGAGTGTTTGGTGAATGCGCAGCGACTGTAGACATGAAGTTGCTGAGGAACAGGTACAAAAAGATGATGCTTCGGTGCCATCCAGACAAGATCGGCTCGGCGGGGAATGAGATCACCAAGTTTCTCACCGGCGAAATGACTCGTCTTGAAACGTATCGCAAAAATCTCGCTGATGTCCCCCCGTGGTTCTCCGGCACCTCCGGCTCTGCGAACAGCGGGGTTTGGAGTCATGCAAATGACACCGCTTCGCGGGCGGCAGGCTCTGGGAGGCGTGGACCGCAGCCGCCGTCTGCCGGCCCGAAGACAAGGCCTGCATCTCGGAATGAGCCCGGGCCTGCATCTGAGACCGAGCGTCCGGGATCTGACTGTCCGGATGCGCCTCATTGCCTTGGCTTCGAAAGGAAGCACGACAAGCTGACGGCAGAGCGAAAAGCCCAGTACAAATTTCTTTACGCGGCCAGTGAGGGATGCGTTCGCTGCATGCAGCACTACGCCGGCCTCCCGAACTTCGATGTGCACTGCGTCTCTTCGAGGATGAACGCTCGCGGCTGGGCCGGGAAGCATCTCACCGCAGAGATGGAGGCCTGCTTGCACAACATGGGTCTCTGAACTTGGAGGCGCGCGCTGCCGAATGGACGCTGTCTTGCGAAAGTTCGGGGGTGTGGTGTAGCAAAGTTAGCAAGGCGAGGCTGTGGGTCTCTGAAGTTGGAGGCACGCGCTGCTGGCGAATGGACGCTGTCTTGCGAAAGTTCGGCGGCGCGGTGTAGCAAAGTTAGCAAGGCAAGGCTGCTGTGCACAAAAAATGCGTGGCAGTAGGAAAGCGAGTGCGTATTGGTGTGTGTGTTTCTTTGCTTCTCTCGCATCCATTCCAAGACCGTTTGCTGCAGCTCAGGTTCTCTTGACTCGCAAGATGCCCGCCGGTCTTCTCCTCAGCAAGACAATCGCTCGGTAACGGGCTGCACTTATCCCGTTTCCAATTTTGCAAGTGGTGCAGCGACGCGTTGTGTTGATTGTGTGCAAGATAACGTGCACCTAGCGGCGTCGCGGATGTGAACAAAGTCACGTAGATCAAGCTCGACGAAGCTCTGCTGATCGTACCCTTGCTCAAAGGTGCTGTTGTGCTGCTGAGACGATGTGGCGTCGACGCGGCCAGACCCTATGGAACATTGCGTTCGATTGTGTTTCTGGTTGTGGAGGTGATACTCTTTCGGAGTGTGTTTATTTTATACTCGTTCTGCTTCCCTAAGCGAATCTATTGGGCCTTCAACCAGAATCGCAGCAGACGCAGCAAGCAAGGTTCCGCAAGAATTTCTCTCTCTCTCTCTCTCTCTCTCTCTCTCTCTCTCTCTCTCTCTCTCTCTCTCTCTCTCTCTCTCTCTCTCTCTCTCTCTCTCTCTCTCTCTCTCTCTCTCTCTCTCTCTCTCTCTCTCTCTCTCTCTCTCTCTCTCTCTCTCTCTCTCTCTCTCTCTCTCTCTCTCTCTCTCTCTTTCTCTCTCTCTCTGTGTCTCTCGTAAGCAGCAGTAGGTGGCTACCTATAAGTTCGATGAGGCCTCTAATTCGGACCAGTGTTCAGGGCTTTAACGTTAAATCCTTGCATCCGCGGGTGCCCCACTTGCGGCTTCACGGCCAGATGTCAATAAGGCCACCCAGCACCACCGAGAAAAGAACGGTCGGGCGCCGCTCCACGACGCTGCACTTTGAGTTCCAAATTCTGGTTCGTGAGCACCGGATAGACGAGATTCCAGTCGAGCTGGTTTTGGCCGTCCTGTGCGACGCGAACGTTCTCCACACGAGTACTTGGCGAAAGGCGATGCACCCACCCGAAGGTCTCATGTCGAGAACGCCCTCTACAGGCTACATCGATTGAACCTTTCCACCAACAGCGGCACGTGGTACTCTACGGCCCACAGCACTGAGTGGGATCCGGAGAACTTCGACCCGGAATGGGGATCGCCGAGCCCTGTTCTTCCTCTTTCTTGTGTCGTTGCTTCATTGCACCTGCTGCCGGAATTATTGCTCCCGACTAGTTCTGCCCTTCGGGATTGGGTTATGCCACTGGGCTTGATGTCGAAGTCCACATTTGCGACCCAGGTCGCCATGCTGCTTTGCCTCGCACCGAGTCATGACGGGAGGTTTTGTTTTTTTCGGTCCCTAAGAGCCCTGACCCACAGTGGAATCCAAGAGAGAAAGCGGAACCTCGAAAGTGTAGTGGGGTTTCCCTAGGCTGCCATCGTGTTTGCTTGCCTTCGTGTCTCTCATTCGAGTCCCTTCTCGATTCTTCTCATCCTGCATGGAAGCAGGCTTGCACTGCCGCAGATCCCAACCCAGTGTCTTGCGGCGGTAGGAATATTTTTAGCGAACCCTGGGTAGGAGGCGATCTCATGAGCTCTCCTCCGACTAGGTTCCATTGCACTGCCGATCCCAACTTTCGCCCCGCGCTCTATCAGCCTGTTCTCGCGTAACTTCCACCTAGTGGCATGTAGGGCTGACATGTTAGTGTTTGACGTTCGAGACATCAAATAGCGGCAAATGGAAGGAGTTGCCTCCTTAAAGGGTGCTATAGGGTTCTATATAAACCCTAAACCCCAAACCCTAATTTAAGAGGGTTTGGCGAGGCAGGCGTTTGGCGGGATTGAGGTCTGTGCTTGGGCTTGCTCCAAAATCGGGAGAGGCGCGGAGATGCAAGGCGACTCCAGAAGGCCAAGGAGAAAACTAGGCGTTCGAAATTCCGGAGGCCGAGGGGTAAGTAGAATAAGACCCGTCTCACCCGTCTCTTAGTGTGTGGGGCTTGGTTTGGATTCATGGCTGGTTCTGGGCATCGGTCTGGCGGCCCAGGTCGGCGGCGAGATTCTTCAGTGGTCAAGACCTTGGTGCTTATGTGAGCGTTGGTACGGGTTCGGTGATTGTAAGAGCAGTTCAAAGCGCGACGTGGGAGGGCTGTGCGAAGGGTATCAGCAGGCTGAAAATCCGTCCCCACTGCAGTTTTCGGAGGCGAGCCATGTCAGTGCCCCTGATCTCGCAGCTGCTGTGTCCGATCCGTGGTCCTTTGATCCAGAATCAGGGGCCGTACCCGTCGGACCGGGATGTTCGCCGTTATGTGGCAGCAATGTACGCCGAGTACTGCGAGTATCGCAGACGTTTCTGTGGCCGCATGCAGGACTCGGTGACGGCGTTGCTGGCGCAGTTCGAAGCAGAAACTCAAGACAACACCGCAGCGGAATTGCTCTGGTTGCTGGAGTACCACTATGTGCGCATCCCAAGCGCACGTACACAGGTGCGGGAGTTGTTTTTGGTAATCTTCGAATGCACGGTCGAGGAGTACATGGAGCACATGGCTCGCCAAGGCTTCGGGACTAAGGACGTTGAGATCTTCGGCATTTTTGTTGAGGAGGATTGGTTTTGAGGCGGGCTGCGTGTCTGAAATTCATAATTCGTTGCGAGCTTCATCTCGTTGGAGGTGGCCAGAAGGCTGACCTTCGGCCGCTGTGTCACTGTCGCACGGATGTAGGCTGCAGGATGACCGTGGTACCGCATGGACGCTGTCTTGCGAAAGTGCGAGGCTGCGGGCAACCATATGGCCGAGGCTGTGATTTCCTATCGAGGTTCCAGACAAAACGAGCTATCGACGCGTGTTGTCTTGGGTGATCTTAGAAGTCGCTCGCCCCCCGTAGCCGTCTCTTGCTCGTGCTGTCGGCTGTGTCGGCAGGCTCGGAGATGTTGCGACTTCGCGCTCTGAGCGGTGAGCAGCTCTTGGTCGTGGATCCGCGGGAGCAGGCTCCCTTGCAGAGTGTCTTGGATACGTTGTATTCTATCATGGCTACTCGTCTTCGAGTGGTAGAGACTCGCCTGAACTTTCATTCCATGGATGAGACTCGGCCGCTCGACCTATTGGATTCTTGGCAGGATTCGGAGCGTTTGCTGGCAGGCCACTATTTGGATGTTCTCATGCTAATGCGACCATGTCGAGCCGGCGGCGAGGACGAGCTAGCCTGGGCCATAGAGCGTGGCCACTGGTTCGAGGTGGATCGGCTGCTTGCAAGCTGGGTGGATCCGAACGTTGACTTGTCGCATCGTAGCAAGGGTGTTATACTCCGCTTTGTCTCGCTTCGATGATTCCTACCATGCGCCACCCCATAGTGGAGAGCCTTCTTGCCTCAGGAGCTACGTTGGAGACGGAAGGAAGCACGGCTCTCTGCTGCGCCTGCAGCGTGGACAACGTGGAAGTGGCGACCTCGTTGATCTCTGCTAGAGCAGATGTCAATCGCCGAGACTGGGACATGGACTCTCCTTTGCTCATTGCCGCGTCGATGGGTTCGAGATCGATGGTGCGGCTTCTGCTGCGAAATGCGGCGGACGCTTCTCAGGAGGATGCCAAAGGTCGCGGTCCCATCGAAAGGTGCTTCATAGATTCTTCGATCGGTCCGGTAATCTCTTTGCTGCGAGCCGGTGCTACAGTGCGACCTTACACGGAGAACTTTCATCTGCTTCATCAAGCCGCTGAAAGAGGCAGCCTGAACTGGGTGACGTGTTTGGTGCGGGCGCGAGCTAGCCCCCAGGCTCGTGACGAACGCGGGCATCTTCCCCTCGACGTGGCACTGCGCTTGTCCGGTTTCGAGCGTCGGGTTCAATTCAGAAGACGTCTTCGCGGGTTTGGGGCCAGAAGAAGACCTGCCGGCCGCCGCGAAGAGTAGCACCGCGCCGTCTTGCGAACGGGCGGGCCGAGGCCGGAAGAGCGCCGCTGACACGCAGATGTAGCATGGCCGCGGAACCGCATGGACGCTGTCTTGCGAAAGTGCGGGGCTGCGGCCAGCTTATGGCCGAGGCGGCGTGGGATGGCGGCCGCGGAACCGCGTGGACGCTGTCTTGCGAAAGCGCGGGGCTGCGGCCACCTCATCATGGCCCAGGCGGTGAGTTGTGACAGGCTTGGCGGCGCTTCTGTCAAAATCCCGCCACTTCCGATGCCGTAACTTGCTATGCTAAACCTGACTTTCGATTGGGGGTCTGGAGGCCGTTCGAGCTTTAGATGGTGGCTTGGAGGGCTTTCGAGCAAAACCTTGCACTTGTCATTGTCGCTGCTGCTGCTGCTTAGGCTGCTTCGACTCGCACGACGAGAATTACCGGTCTTGTCCTCAGCAAGACGATCGCTCTGATGAGGGTTGCATCCGATGCGCTTTCAGTTTCGCTGCATGCAGTATTTTGGATGCTTTTTGTGTGTGCCGCGTAGCTCGGGCTCGATTGCTGTGGCGCTGGCCTTTGCGGTGATGCCGGGTGGACGCTGTCTTGCGAAAGCTCGGTGTGCCGCTGGGCTATGGCGGCCAGGTCCTTGCCCTCGAATGCCTACTTGCTCGAAGCAGATCTGCGAGCTACCGAAGGGTGGAACAGCAGAAAGCCTTTGATCAGATGGCAGACGGGCACAGCCAAGCTTGCCTTCCGGGTGCCTGGGAGCCCTGATACCATCGCCATCGAGGAAAGGATCGACCGTCTTGGTTGCGGGACTCTCAGCGTGGCTTTCAGCTTGGAGAACTGGAGGTTGGCGGTGAAGATCGTGCCCCGTGCGGGCATGAACAAAAGTGGCTGGATGACGACAAACGATCCGCTGCGGGAGCTGAAGCAGTACGTGAAGGCGTTCCAAAATGCCGCAGTGCGTCCGTACTTGCTCCGGTATTACGGAGGCCTGTATCTGTGGGGCGACAGGGACTTCACTCTGGCATCCTCTGAGGTCGACGAGGAGTCGACGGTCGCAGCCGCCGTCATGGTCTGCGATCGCGCGGAGTTCTCTATGGCGACGGCACTGCTGCAGCTTTGGCAACAGCCCATGACGGAGCAGTTGCGCGAGCAGCACCTGCGACTGTGGACATCCGCGCTAGCCATGATCGGTACATTCTTCGAGAACGGGTGGGTGCTCTGGGATGCGCAACCTGAAAACTACGGCGTGGACGAGGCAGGCTACGAGCGGATGCGGTTCTTGAGGGTCGCGACCATCCAGGAGAAAAGCTGTGATCCCAATCACGCTGAAGGCCAGCTGCTGTACAAGATCATGAAGCGCTTTTGCGGGGCAACAGTCGATTTGCTGACAAGGGGAGGCAGTCATCCAACGTGGCAGACATGGCTGCAGCCGCTTTTCCAAACCATGTGTCGACGGTACTTCGGTCAAGAAGCTGTACCTTTGTGGGGTGAACAACTGTATTGGTCGAGGACAGGCGTTTGCTGGACATTAAATCCTTAATAAGCCGGAAGTCTGAACCCTGAACCATACGTGGCGTGTGGGTGTGTCCGTGTGTTACACTCGCAATAATTTGCAGGATCGACGAAGCGTGCATGCGTGCACTTGCAGAGCACATGTTCAGGCTTCTCGGCAGAAAGAGTTGGCTGCCGCGCAGATGTAGGATGCCCTTTTCTGTATACTGCACGGACGCTGTCTTGCAAAAGTGCGGGCTGAGGCCGGAATAGCGCCGCCGACACGCAGATGTAGCATGGCCGCGGAACCGCATGGACGCTGTCTTGCGAAAGTGCGAGGCTGCGGCCACCTCATCATGGCCCAGGCGGCGTGGGATGGCGGCCGCGGAACCGCGTGGACGCTGTCTTGCGAAAGCGCGGGGCTGCGGTCACCTCATCATGGCCCAGGCGGTGAGTTGTGACAGGCTTGGCGGCGCTTCTGTCAAAATCCTGCCAGAGCCGGTTCGAGCTTTAGATGGTGAGTTGGAGGGCCGCCTTCGAGCAAAACCTTGCACTTGTCATTGCTGCTAGTGCTTAGGCTGCTTCGATTCGCAGCGCGAGAACTACCGGTCTTGTCCTCAGTAAGACGATCGCTTTGATGAGGGTTGCATTCGATGCGCTTTCAATTTCGCTGCATGCGGTCCTTTGCATGCTTTTTTTTTGTGCGTGCCGCGTAGCTCGGGCTCGATTCCTGTGGTCGCGCTGGCCTTCGCGGTGACCCCCAGTGGACGCTGTCTTGCAAAAGCTCGGTGTGCCGCTGGGCTATGGCAGGCAGGTCCTTGCCTCCGGATGCTTATTTGGTCGAAGCGGATCTGCGAGCAACCGGGGGGTGGACCAGGAAAAACCCATTGCTCAGATGGCAGACAGGCACAGCCAAGCTTGTCTTCCGGGTGCCCGGGAGCTCTGCTACCATCGCCATCGAGGAAAGGATGGACCGTCTTGGTTGCGGGGCTTTCAAGGTGGCTTTCAGCTTGGAGAACTGGAGGTTGGCGGTGAAGATGGTGCCCAATGCGGGCATGAACAAACAAGGCTGGATGACGACAAACGATCCGCTGTGGGAGCTGAGGCAGTACTTGAGGGCGTCCCAAAATGAGGCAGTGCGTCCGTACATGCCCCGGTGCTACGGAGGCCTGCACCTGTGGGGCGACCTCGACGACGCTTTGGTAGGGACTGAGGTCGACGCTTTGGCAGGGACTGAGGTGGACGAGGGGCCGATGGTCGCCGCCGCCGTCCTGGTCTGCGATCGCGTTGAGATCTCTATGACGACGGCACTGTTGCAGCTGTGGCAACAGCCCATGACGGAGCAGTTGCGCGAGCAGCACCTGCGACTGTGGACATCCGCGCTCGCCATGATCGGCACATTCTTCGAGAACGGGTGGGGGCTCTGGGATGCGCAACCTGAAAACTACGGCGTGGACGAGGGAGACTACGATGGGATGCGGTTCTTGGACGCCGGGGCCATGGAGAGGAGAAGCCTTAGTCCCAATCACCTTGAAGGCCAGCTGCTGTACAAGATCATGAAGAATTTTTGCAGGGCAACAGTCCAGTTGCTGACAAGGGGAGGCAGTCATCCAACGTGGCAGACATGGCTGCAGCCGCTTTTCCAAACCATGTGTCAACAGTACTTCGGTCCAGAAGCTGCACCTGTTTGGGGTGATCAACTGTTTTGGTCGAGGACGGGTGCTTGCTGGACATTAAATCCTTAATAAGCCGGAAGTCTGAAGCCTAAACCATACGTGGCGTGTGGGTGTGTCACTGTGTGTTGCACTCGCACGTTGCAGGAGCATCGACGAAGCGTGCATGCGTGCACTTGCAGGGCACGTGTTCAGGCTTCTCGGCAGAAAGAGCTGGCTGCCGCGCAGATGTAGGATGCACTTTTCTGCTGCACGGACGCTGTCTTGCAAAAGTGCGGGCTGAGGTAGCGCCGCTGACACGCAGATGTAGCATGGCCGCGGAACCGTGTGGACGCTGTCTTGCGAAAGCGCGGGGCTGCGGCCAACTCAGCATGGCCCAGGCGGCTAGTTGTGACGGGCTTGGCGGCGCTTCTGTCAAAATCCCGCCAGAGCCGGTTCGAGCTTTAGATGGTGACTTGGAGGGCCGCTTCGAGCAAAGCCTTGCACTTGTCATTGCTGCTGCTGCTGCTGCTGCTGCTTAGGCTGCTTCGACTCGCACCACGAGAACTACCGGTCTTGTCCTCAGCAAGACAATCGCTCTGATGAGAGTTGCATTCCATGCGCTTTCAATTTGACTGCATGCATTCCTTTGTATGCTTTTTCGTTTTGTTCGTGCCGCGTAGCTCGGGCTCGATTCCTGTGGTCGCGCTGGCCTTCGCGGTGACCCCCAGTGGACGCTGTCTTGCAAAAGCTGGGTGTGCCGCTGGGCTGCTGCGTAGCTCGGGCTCGATTTCTGTGGCGGCGCTAGTCTTCGCGGTGCCGCCGGGTTGACGCTGTCTTGCGAAAGCTCGGTGTGCCGCTGGGCTATGGCGGCCCGCTCCTTGCCCTCGAATGCCTATTTGTTCAAAGCAGAGCTGCAAGCAGAACTGGACGGGTACGGCAAGAAAAACCCAATGATCAGATGGCGGACAGGCAGAGCCAAGCTCGAGTTCCGCGTGCCCGGCGGCGGTGCCATCTTCATCGACGAAATGCTCTACCGTCTGGGTACCGGAGCTTACAAGGTGGTCTACGGCTTGGAGACCTGGAAGTTGGCGGTGAAGATCGTGCCCAATGCGGGCATGAACAAAAATGACTGGATGGTGACAAACGATCCGCTGCGCGAGCTGAAAATGTACAGGGGTGCGTACGAGAGGAGTGGCAAAGTACGACCGTGCATGCCCCATTATACTACGGAGGCGTGCACCTGTGGGGCGACTGTGACTGGTCTATGGCAGGGAGTCAAGACGATCCCAGGGCCAGGGACTCGAAGGTCGCAGGCGCCATCATGGTCTGCGATCGCGTTGGGCTTTCTATGGAGACGGCACTGTTGCAGCTTTGGCAGCTGCCCATGACGGATCGGTTGCTTGAGGAGCACCTGAAACTGTGGACATCCGCGCTCGTCATGTTCGGCACATTCTTCGAGAACGGGTGGATCCTCTGGGATGCCAAACCTGACAACTACGGCATGGACGAGGGAAACTACGAGCGGTTGCAGTTCTTGGACCTCGCGGCCATAGACGACAGAAGTGAAGAAACGACCCGCCAAGATGGCCAGCTGCTGTACAAGATCATGCAGCGCTTTTGCAAGGCAACAGTCGACCTGCTGGGAAAGGGAGGCACTCATGAAACGTGGCGGGAATGGCTGGTGCCGCTTTTCAAGAACATGTGTC